AAAATATGTTGTAATGGTCTTCAACAGTATTGCATCCAGTGAATAGAGATTGCCAATCAAGGGATGAGAGATCGTTGTCTATAAGATCATAGTTGCCTTTTTTGAAGTTATAATTGGGGATTACGTCATTGTGGTGGTTTTTGTGTGGACGTATGTTGAGACAAAAGTCAATCATATTGTGGTCACTGCTGGAAAAGGGTTCTTTAGTTTGTATTCCGTAAATTAAATTCAAACTATTGCAGAAGATGAGATCGAGGCAGTTGTTTAGTCTAGTGTTGTTGGTTACTAGTTGTTCCAGCCCCAGATTTGTAACAGCATTGTAGAAGGTTGCGTGTATGGGTTCAGTTGTACATTCATTTTGGGTCCAGTCAATATGAGGTAGATTGAAGTCACCAAGAAAGATAAAAGCGCATTGGGAGGATGCTGCCCGTGTTAGTAGTGTGTTTAGTAGTGTATTTATAAATATGAGAAAGTCACTGAATGAATAAAAGGCGGGAGAAATAAAGAAATAAAAAAACAGTAACATGAAAGCTTTAAATATAATAGCAATAAATAATAAATATCACAAAATAATAAATTAATCCATAAGATAAATAGAATAAAGTCATTAACTAAATAAAAGATATAAAGCAAAACAATAACAGACAAAACAAGATTCAGAATCTTCCATCTGGATGCAGTTGGGACTCCGACTCCCAGAATCCCCCAGCCGGCCACAGGCGGGACTCTGACTCCCAGAATTCCCCAGCTGACTGGGGGCTTCTGGGAGTTGAAGTCTTCCCGGCTGCTGGGCTCCAAACCCCCATGCAAGAATTGACCTGACCCTCCCACCAGCCTCCGTCTGGGTGCCTATTAAACCGAAGCCAACCCGCATTAGGACCGCTCCTCCTCCTTCTCTCTCTTTCTCTCTCTCTCTCCCCCCCCCCACCATCCGCGCCCAGGGCTTGCTGGGAGATGTAGTCCTCGGGGGGTGGGGGGGGTGGAGGAGTTGGGAAGTGACCGCTGCAGCCATGGACTTCGCCGCCGCCACCACCGTCCGGCCGGCCAGACCCGAGGATTGCGCGGAAGTGGGGCGCATGATCCGGGTGGGCGCGGGGGGAGGGGGAGCTCCAAAGGGGAAGGGGGCGAGCTATTGCAAGCGAGCGGGGAGGGGGGCTTTTAAAGGGAGGGGGAGTTTTGCAAGAGGGGAGGGGGCTTTTAAAGGGGGAGTTTTGCAAAAGGGGAAGGGGCTTTTAAAGGGGGAGTTTTCCAAGACCTTGCCCCCCCCCACCCTAATGGGTCAGCCCAGTCTGCAGAGCCCCTGATGTGGGTCTTTTCTCTCTTATTTGTTGCCCCCTCCCAGGAATTGGCAGCATTTGAAAAGCTCTCCCTGCAAGTGGCCATCACGGATGAAGGTGAGGCCAAGGGGTCCCCGCTCCCCCAGGTGCAAATGACAGGTGGTCCTTGACTTACGACGACTCATTTAGTGACCGTTGGTTCCACCAAACCACTCGGCAAGTTTGCAACCGGTTCTCCAACACCGCTGCGAACCGGCTGAAACAAGGAGACCATTTCCCCACACCCTTAACGCACCGCTGGATCGAGATTCGCACCGTTGGCGACCGACTCGTATTTATGACGTGTCATTCCCCCCCCCCCCCCCCAGGGGGGGGGGGGTGGGGGGAACCCACGGATCAACCTTTTTGGCAACTTTCCAATGAGCGAATCCCGCTTCGCTGAACCACTGGGATAATTCGCTCTGGACGGTTCGCTTAACAACAGCGGCCAAGAAGATCGTACGAGGGAGTCAAATCTCACCGAACCTGTGTCCCACTGAGTCAGCATAAATTTGGGGGCGTAAGTCAAGGACTGCCTGTCCCAAGGAGATGATTTCCTGCTTGAACGGGGCGGGTTGGGCTAGAAGACCTCTAGGGACCCTTCTACCACTCTTGTTATACTGAAAGGGTCAATAAATAGAGCCTGGTTTTATTTTATTTTTTCATTTTTTTTCTTTCGGAAGATTTGCATCCCTGGAGGGGCCTGGGGGGGGGCAGTTGTCCTTATGGGGGGGTTCCCCCCTTCCTCTTTTAAATGTAATTTCTCTCCCACTTGGCTTGCGCAGGGCTGCGGGAAGATGGCTTTGGCCAGGACCCCTTCTACAAGTGTGTGGTGGCTGAGCTGCCCCCTGAATGCCGGAGCAAAGAGGGTGAGGAGGGGTCCCGTTAATATCTGGGTGGCAGGGTAGGGTAGGTGAACCGGTGTTTATTAACCTGAATAACCTTAAGATGAGTGGACTTCAACTCCCACAAGTCTATGGTTCTTAAAGTGCTGGTTGGGGAATTCCCTGAGTTCCATCCGCCTTGAATTGGGGGATTCTGGGAGTTGAAGTTCCAT